AGGTTGTGTGGACACTTTTTCAGCTCACTTAGGCAAATACTAGGAAGCACAATTGCTGGGTCCTATAGCACAAGTATGATCATCAGTTTTTAAGAAACTGCCAAACTGTCTTCCAAGGTGGTTGAATTATTTTGCATTCCCTCCAGCAATGAATGATTTCCTATTGCTCTACATCCTCACAGGCATTTARTGTTGTCAGGGTTTTGGATTTGGGCTATTCTAATATGTGTGTAGTGACATCTCATTGTTTTGATTTGCTAATGACATATGATGTTGAACATCTTTTCACATGATTATTTGACATCTCTATTTCTTCTTTGGTAAGGAGTGTGTTCAAGTCTTTTGCTCATTAATAAATCAAGTTGTTAGGATTTTTTTTGTTTTTATTTTTAAGGGTTCTTTGTGTGTTTTCAGGAATAGTACTTTATCAGATGTCTTTTTCAAGTACTTTCTCCCAGTCTGTGGCTTTTCTTCTTTTCTCTTGACATTGTCTTTCACAAAACAGAAATTTTTAATTTACATTATTCATCTATCCACACAATATGTCTACTTTTCCCATTAAAACACTCAGCATATTAATCACAAGTGTTAGAAATGCAYAATCTGATAATTCCAACATCCCTTCCAGCTTCTGGAGTTATCAGGTGAAGGGTTTCCTCAGTTCTTGTCTTCCTGAAAGATTTCAGTTGAGAAACAGAGTTAGAAAAAGCATAAAGGGTTTATTTAGTGAAATGAAAATAATGTGAAATGGCCTTCCTTCAAAAGAAGAAATCCTGGAACCTCCTTCCTCATATATTATATATATTTGGGACAATTATTGTGGTTTCCCACCATGCCAGAATTTTTTTCACAATAGATCATATCCCTTTTCTCCAGATTGATAGGGAACTGTCTGACCACAAGAAGGTGATCCTTAGGTGGTGTAATAGCCAGTTGGGTGCAGCTCAGGGGCAGAGACTGAATTTCCTTTCCCCCACCTCCCTTGCTCAAGTCTATCAAAGCTACCTACTTCYACACTGGGACTAGTTTTGATTCTTTCCATTTGAACTGTGTTTAACTTTCTAGAGTGACTGCAATTTTTAACTGAAAAGCAGACATAATGTACTAGGTAAAAGGAACTGCAATAAATAGGTCTTTAGTAGAAATAGTGGTAAGGTATATAAAGGAAGCAAGCATTATTCAGTTTTAAGATTTGTTCTCAGTGTTTTAATGAGCCTGTGCCCCCAGGTTGTGAACTTCAAAGTGCTTCCCAGTTGATTTTCATTCTTTTTCATTTCCCTTAGGTGGTACAGGATGATTTCTCCCAGCAATGATGAAGCACTGGCAAAAATCACCATAAGTTGGGCCTTGAGGGCAAACCCTGTTAAGAACAGAATGTCCTGTCATTTTTAAAAATGGTTACCTTTCTACTTGCCTTTCAGGGAAAAGCAGGGAGTTTTTCTCCCTTCTTCACTGTGACATTAAAATAGAAATTTAAGGGTACAAAAAAGAAAGATATATTGAATTTAAAAGATAAGAGCCTATAAACCATCGGAATACAAGAAATACCCATAAACTTTTGAATTACAAAACAAGCAACTCAGTGCAACTCAGCCCAGACTGTGTCCTTATCCTCAAACAGTAACATGATACAAGGGCTATTCACAAGCACTAGGAAAACTGGCATGAAACTGCATAACTCTGCCCTGCCGCCACCTCTAGTCCAGCCTCTAGCTACTGTCCCACTATAAATATTTAACACCCTAGACAAGGGGTTGCTATCTCTCACTCTCAATATCTACCTTCAATGTGTATTTCTTGTTTTACCTCGAAAGATAGGTCTCTCTCTCTTTATAGACCACGCTCTTCCTGTATTCCTGTATTCCATGCATATATCTTCCTGTATCCCCAAAGATATCTCTCTAGAGATACTCCATGTTCTTCCTTATGTGTATGACTGCTTTCCTGAATAAATCTGGCTACATCTCTGTCATGTGCTAAAATTCTTCTCCATCACATGTGCCAAGTGATAGACCCAACCTGATATTTTCTTAAAATTGGGAGTCATCTAGCCACAAAGCCATGAAAAGATAATTTCGGCTTTACTATAAATTACTGCAAATTCTGAACCTGCTTGGAATGCCTGCCCATGCCTTGAACTCACTCATGCCTGGCTCTCTGACCAGATAGCAGCCCTCTCTGAAACTTTAGTGACACCTCATAAATATTGGCCTTCCCTGGCCAGACAACAACCCTCTCTGAGGCTCTAATGGTCCTCATAAATTCTGATGTTGGACCCAGCAAAAAATGTAAACTACCAATAGTGTGATGCTTGTCAAAGTTCTGTTATCTGTAACCCCCCTTTGTGTAACATTCTGGGCTATAAAGCCGGGCTGCAGGAAAGCTGGGGTGCTGTCTTATTCCCACCATTTTGGGAGGGAGAGGCAGCCTGGCTGGTCGAAATAATAAGCTTGCTTTAATTTAATTTTAATTGGAGTCAGTGGTCTTTTCTTGCGTCCTGGTCTAACACCAAGGACCCCACTTGTCCTGAGCCAAGGTTCCCCTCTCTGAGAACTTCTCCAGTGACAGGAACTGTAGAGGGAAAACTCAGAAGTATGAGTGCACCCCTTACCCATTACTGGGTATCCCTAGAGTTCATTAACTCTCAAACTAAATTATGAGATGCTAGCAATTCATCAATTACAGATCAGGTTTTCTTGTCCCAGTAACGGTGCCTGCAGACATGAGTTTCTACTCTGGAAAACTGATTCTGATTCTCTATGTTCTCCTATCTGTCTCTCTGATTTGGGGGCAGCAGTTTTCCTTGTGACCTCACTTTCCATCTAACTACAAAGACGTTATTTTCTCGATTTGTTCAGTTTTTCACTGGACTTCTAAACGCTTTACATGTCAGACCAAAAATCAGAAATCCTATTATTGTTAAACAAGCTACAACAAAATTACAAATGTCTCTTCCTAGAAGATAAATATATCTTCCATAGGGAAAAGAAAATTAACTCTACTACAAGCTCATTTTTTTCACTAGAATTGCTTACTGCATTCCAAGCAGAAGCACTGACCCACACAAGGCCTAGAACCAAAAAAAAAAAAAAAAAAAACTTTTGAACCATTTTTTCCCAATATCCCAGATATGGAACACCTATAAAAATGTAAATTGAGCAATAACTATATCTATGTATATACATCTATGGTAATTTTGAAATAATTATTATGTTTTTAAAGGTCTACTCTTTTGAGAAAAGAAACATAAATGATTAGAGTATTTGAAAATATATATATACATCATATATATGAAAAAATATATAAAGGCTATTTGAATTCTAAATTATGATTTCCAATGCATTTTAATGAACATGTGTTGATTTTGTTGCAATATTCATAGAACTGAAAACTTAGGACTCAAGAGGTTAAAGAATTACAAATGTTCCATAGGTTGGTGTGAGACTTGCATGGCAGAGTCATGGGAAATAAGGATGCAGAGGTAAGGAGGTTAATCTGAGCCTGAATGGTCTAGCAGTAGAATTTAGATTTTATCTATATCTTAGCCTTGAAGATTTTTAAATAGAATAAGGACATTCATTTAAAACCCAACTTAAATAAAAAATATTTAGGGTCAGAAAGGAAATGGCACTGATCAATTTATATTTCATAAAGATCACCAAGCAGGCATTAATTTAGAAGTTCATTAGATTCAGGGATTCAGAGGTCTGGTATCAATGAAATAGATGGGATGCTTTTTCAGTAACCCTGTAAGAAATAATGAGACTGAACTGAGGCAACAACAGGGGGTGGTGGGGGACATCATGATGTGAGAGATACTTAGGGCTTGGAGATATGCAGGGACTGAGGGAGAAAGAGAGTTGTGATTCCCAGGCTTTCTGTGGTTAGTATGGACACACAGATATATAAAGAAAAGTCCCTTTAAGGAGAAAAAATACAAGATGAGTTGTGTTTTAAAGACATAAGAATCCTAATTGAGACAGACATCTAGTACATAGCTGTCCACTCAAGCCTGAAGTTTAGGGGAGCCATCCTGATTATAGATAATAATCTGGTAATCATCCTTAAATACAAAGAAGTTAAAAGCCATGGTATAGGTGGGAGGGTGGAGTGAAGGGAGCAAAGGACTTTGGAGAGAATCTTTGAGCTCATCAACCTTTAAGGTATATATTCAAGAAATGAACCTTGAAAGAGACTGAAAAGCAAATAGGAAAAGGGTCTGATAGGGTGTCTGGTAGAGCCATTTTAACAAAACACAGTTGTAGAGTAAACCAACAGGGCTGGGATTGTAGCTCAAYGGCAGAGAGCTTGCCTAGCACGTGTGAGGCACTCGCTTTGATCTTCAGCACCATGTAAAAATAAATAAAGTTATTGCGTCCATTTACAACTAAAATAATATGTAAACCAGCAAATACTCCAACCTTCTCTACAATATGGCCCACGTTTAAAATGCATCCATATTCTGGAAACTTTTTGTTGCCCTCGACCCTCCTTGCAAAGTCCCCAAAACCTACAAACCTATCAGGTGCTGCTGGAAAAAAAAAAAACTCGAGAAGCTCCCAGAATGGGCCCCTCTCTCTTTTGTGCACCCTTCACCATTAGTCTCACCAACTTAGTTTCCTCTCTTCGTGGAGAATCCCCTGAGACGTGGTATCTTATTCATCCAGTGTTCCCCAGGGCACACAACGTGCCTTCAAGGAAAAGCAGCATTTGCKTACGGGGCACAAACACGCAGCAGGCCTGTCATTGTTTCTCCTTCGCTCTGTTAAGCCTCATCTACCATGACTGGCCCACATCCCACCCCAACCAAGATGTTTCGCAAAGGAGTCTGTGGCAGGACCCCTGAAGGCAGCGCACGCAACCAAGAGGAAACCCACGAACCAAACCCTCTAGTACGACGTCACCCGCAACCCCGAGAGCAAGCCCGCGCCAAGACTCAGGCACGCCCTTCCGGTTCTGGCCACGCCCCGCAAGCCACGCCCCCACCCGGCCCTGGCACCGCCCATCTCCGGCGCCGACAGACCCGTGGACATGGCGAACCAGGTAACTGCGTGCTTGCCGCGGGCCTTGTGCTAGAGGAAGGAAGAACGTGGGGTGGCATCAGGCCGCTAGCAGAGGCGCGTGGCTCGGCCCGGGACGGGATCCCGCCACCAAAGCTGAATCGGAGCCTGCTGCCGCCTCAGCCAAAAAGAGAAGAAGGAAGCTTTGTTTTGGCTCCTCACTGGGGCAGTAGTTTTGCTTTCTGCTTCTGGAACCGCCGGAGCTGGATGGGGGTGGGGAGGACCGAAGAGTGGGGGCAGGGGCTGGTCGAGTGCGTGTCCTAATACAAATGGCCTTGGAGAAGCCATTGCTCTTTACAAGTCATTGCTCTTTATGCGGAATTAAATAACTTTCGTGGTGTCACGCTTGCAGGCAGACACAGCTGCAGCCAGAGCCCTACTCCTACGTGCTAGTGCGTTATGGTTGCAATTCACGACTCGGAAAATGCTCAATTACTGTGCCACTTGAGAGTGTATTTTGGGAAGACTCTTAGGTTCCTTTCTTTTTAACATTTTTTTGAGCACTTAGGCACCAAGAGATTTATGCCCTCTCATAATCCTTGTATTATGTACACGACTGCGAGGCATTTTTTTCCCTTCTCGGAGACCAAAAAATGAAGCTTAAAAAGTTGGTTGTGCTTCGTGATTACACCAAAGGTAGTGAATCAGAAGTCCAACTCAGATCTGTCCATGAGTGAAAAGATTCTGAAATGCATATTAAACTATATAGGCAGAAGTACATGAAAAAGATGAATTATCAATTTAAAGTCGCTGATTGTTTTGATTGTTTTAATGCTTTACAAACTTTAGACATTTTTCTAGAAAGATATATGACCGTAAATGGTGAAGTTTAAAACTATAAACTCTTAATGATCTTTCAGGCTTAATATACAGTTGTTTTTCCTTATTACCAAATATCTTCAGAGACGATGAAATATTGTAACTCCTACATAGTTTAAATGTTGACATAGGGCAATTTTCCCTGGATTTAGAGTGGGGCTTTGTTTTGCTTTCTCAGTGAAAGGAAAAGATTAAGCTGCTTTCAGCATTTTTTAATGGGAGAGGGATCAAACTTTGGTTCTGTATAATTATTTATCTGTTGCCTTGGATGTCTGGGTTGTGTGACTAAATTGTTAGCATTCTAATTTGATCCTTTGGGATTTTGTGTTGAGATCTATGGTACATTAAGGTGGAAAAAGGTGCTAATAGCAGTGTCTAAATTCTTTACTCTCATATTTAATACCTACATTTCAATTTGAGGGGGCRAAGGGGTGGATACTAGGGATTGAACTCAGGGGCACTCCACCACATCCCCAGCCCTATTTTGTATTTTATTTAGAGAAGGTCTCACTGTGTTGCTTAGCACCTTGCTTTTACTGAGGCTGGTTTTGAACTCTCTATCCTCCTGCTTCAGCCTCCTGAGCTGCTAGGACTACAGGTGTGCACCATCACCCCCCRGCCTTACATTTCAAATTTAAAAGCAATAATTTGCAGCTTCACTAGTTACAGTAGCCATTCCTTATATCTTTAGTTCACCTCTCCTTTTCCTCAACTCTGTTCTGCTGCCACCAATAACTACCTATTTTTGCAAAGCATCACTATACCAAGAACTGTATTAGGAACTTCATACTGACTTCCATTTACTCGTAATCATCCAATCTGTAGGTGTTTTATTTGTAATTACTTCTTTCTCATTCTTCATTAAAAGTGATGCTTTCCCAAAACCACCAAGGTTACATTCTTTCTTCATTTTTTGCTTTCTATAGCMCTTTGTTCCTGTTTCTTTAAATCATATTTAAAAATTATTGATGTACACATCTGTCTGCTATAAATACACTTCATAAGCATTTTGTGAACTGTTCAAAACCTTCCTCATTATGCTTGATTTCATGGTAATGGGGAAGCATGTGTACTGACTATAATCTCTTAACTTCCTATATATACATAATACAAGTCACATATGTAATTTAAAATTTTCTAGTAGCCACATTAAAGAAAGGAACAAATGAAATTGTTTTTAATAGTATATTTATATGATCCAACATATTCAAAATATTATTCAACATAATATTTTTAAAAATATTATACAGCTGGGTGCAGTTTTACACGCCTGTAATACCAACTACTCCAGAAGCTGAAATGGAAAGATTACAAATTCAAGGGTAGCCTGGGAAACTTATTGAGACCTTGTCTCAGAATGTTAAAAAAAAAAAAAAAGGTCTGGGGAGGTAGCTCAGTGACAGAGTTCAATTCCCAGTATCACCAAACAGACAATATGTGTGTGTATAAATATATAATATATATGTACATATATGAGATATTTTTACTCTTTTTTGTAYTAAGTCTTCAAAATTCAGGTGTATTTTACACCTATACCATATCTGAGATCAGACTGTTTTGTTAGTACTGAGTAACTATATGTGGCAAAATGCTTGTGTATTGCAKTTACACATATTATGTGTCAAAGGGGCTCCTGTATTAGCACAGTTAAAAGTTTTAAGTTCGCCCATTCTGATACTTCTTATCCTCCTTCCTATCCTATAGTTTTGCACTAAACTGGTGCAAACAGTTTATTTAACCATTCTGAGCAAAAGTTTAATATGACATATATTAACMATAGCCTCATAACAGATCTACTGTATCAGATTCTCTTGGGACCTATATTCTTATTCTGATCTTTTTTAATGAATCAGAGGGTCATTAAATGTTTGATGAATAAGACTTCTTAGGCAAAAGAGACTGTTGTATTGGATTGAGTAATCATCTCAAGTCTTTTTACTGTATACTAATTCTATGAAATCTAAAAACAATTCTACATATCACTTAAGGGTGTATATTTCTCTGTGAATCTGTGGTAAACTTTCTAAGATTAGCATTCTTGGTATCGAAATTGGCCTCTAAATAATTAGTTTAGGAAGATAAACCACTCACTCTCTTTCCCCCCATTTTAGGTTATCAAGTGCAAGGCCGCAGTTGCCTGGGAGGCTGGAAAGCCTCTCTCTATTGAGGAGGTAGAAGTAGCACCCCCAAAGGCTCATGAAGTTCGAATTAAGGTAATGATACACCTTCAGCATTGGAAGAATGAAAAAAAAAAAAAAAAGACTTACAGTTAGGTCTGTGAGTGAATGAGTAGCTCTGAGGTCTATAATAAACCCCAAAGGACAATTCAAGGAGACGAAACTGAAAGTCATCCAACCTTAGCATCAACATCCTTTTACCTCTCTCATTTTTGTAGTTTAAATATACCTCTCTCTCAATTTTGGCTTTGGCTGGCATAGCACCTTTCCTGTGGATTACTAGATTCCTGCAATATAACTTTTATAGTTTAATGTGACCTTGTAAGATCCTCCCTTTTCTGCTGATCCCATAATCTATGGTGTAACATTGGAAACGATAAATAAACTAGATTATGTTAGAAGAGACTTCCAATAAGATTTGGAAAGAGGTTCCTGATTAACTAAAGCAATAAGCAAATAAAGTCTCCTTGCTTGCTTAGAGAGCTTCAAAATGTACTGTCCCTGATGGACCAGGCCAAGGTTCAGCAGGTTCATTAATCCAGTTCCTCTCAACCKCCACTGCAGCAGAGAAGGAGAGTTACACCTGGAGAGGGGTATATTACACAAGACAACCAGCTCGAGCAATCTTGACATTTAACTCTCTACTTGTTTTTTATATATAAAATTAATGTTTTAAAGTAATGGCCATTAAATAATTTTTTTTTCCTTTCTAAAAAAATGTTACATTTTAGGAAAAGACTTGGCTCTCTTTTGCCATTACTTTAAGTATACTTCCACCACCACCATCCTACTTCCAAATATATACTGCACATACTGGCTCATGCTCCCAAGGATCATAAAGATCAGGTGGGGAGAGCCCACAACCAAATAACTTTTGGAGGCCCTTTTCAACTGAGACTCAGAAATCTGAAATCTTATAATAGTATAGTATTTTTCTTCTTCAAATTCAGAAATTAAACTGATTGTGCTTTTGCCACTGAAGAAGAGTATTTGTCCTAAATATACAAAGATGAACTTTGTATATTTGCGAAGCACAATGAGTTCAGCTTTCATCCCTGAGAAACTGCTGACAGATAGCAAAGAGTATTACACTAGAAGTGAGTATGTAGGCCAGAAGCAGAGCAGCATAAATACAAATACTCCAAGAGTCTTACTTTCTGTACTTTTTTGTGCTTTGGAAAGATAAGATATTTGAAAACCAGAGAARCAGGAATAAAAGGTTTATTTAAGTGGAAATAATGTGTGGTGGCAAAAGATTGATTCCAGTAAAATCTCATAGTTTGGGTCCAGACTCAAGCAGACTGGCATAWTTCAGAAATAGTATTTTTTTAGACATTTCCAGAATCCACAAGGAAGTCAAAAGTGAGATGGGATACACTTGTTTTGCAATATGTAATGTTCCTCTCCACACCTGCAGGCACAGTGCACATAAAATTACCCTATTTACCTTCTGCTAACATTCATTGAAAAAGAGAAAAACCATGCCACATTTTATTACATATAAATACACCATTATTTTTATGTACCACTTAAAAAATGCTGCCAATTCTAATCGTTAGCAATGCTATGGATTATGAACCCTTGCTGATTTAAACAAGTTAAAATAGAAAAGACTTCTATCTTATTCTATCTTAGAATCTACAAAGTATAATATTAAAGTAAAATGTCTTTTATTTGACTTGTACCTCACTCTGACCTGCATGCACACACACACTTCAGTGCTTTTTATTCTAACACCCTGACAGATCATTGCCACTGCACTTTGCCACACTGATGCTTATACTCTGTGTGGAGCTGATCCTGAGGGTGTTTTCCAGTGATCTTGGGACATGAAGGTGCTGGAATTGTGGAAAGTGTTGGTGAAGGAGTTACTAAGTTTAAGGCAGGTAAGGAGAATATTTGGATTACTTACTTGATGATTTAGGCTTATATCTGTAGGGAAGTTCCTTTTCTGATAAACTACACACTGTTTATAAACTGTTTATAAACAGGTTGTCACCTAAAAAAAAATATCAAGATTGATTTCATTCATCTGGGGAGCACAAATGTTTGGATATCTCTCTCTCTCTCTCTCTCTCTCTCTCTCTCAATTTTGCAGACGGCTCTTCATCTGAAACTGTTTAAGTACATTTCCAAAGTCAATTTTGGAAAAGTCAGCAAGAATTCTTAGAATGATGTCAATAAGTCAGTATTTTGAAGCACAACATGACTTTGTTCTGCAGTTATTGTTTTAAGAGTTTCATTTAGATGAAAACTTTGAAACATACTTTTTGCATGGTCAGGCAATGTCTAGGTGACATTACATGGGTAAAGTTTTAAACCTTGAAGTTAACTTTGTAGACTACAGCAGAAAGGAATGGAATTTGCAAAGGCTGCTTTATTCATTTAGAAATAGGTWCCACCCATTCAGGATGTCTTTGTATTTGTTTCCTAGGTGATACTGTCATCCCGCTTTACATCCCACAGTGTGGAGAATGCAAATTTTGTCTAAATCCAAAAACAAACCTTTGCCAGAAGATAAGGTTAGTGGCTTTTTATTGTATTCTTAAAACAAGAGGTCATATTAATGGTAATAATCACTTAATTATGTGGCAATTAAGCAGTGCATTTTACATGAACTAATTTCATCTTTAAAGCAGTCTTACTGTCACTGTTATTAATAACCTTATTTTCAAAGATGAAAAAATGAAGACGCAAGAAATTAAGGATTTGCACAGTATCATAGGTCATTACGATATAGAACAGAATTTTATGAACCCATTCTCTTTCCATAATCCTACGCTAGATTTGCAAGGAAGGACATGTTTGTGAGATTAAGTGAAATCATTTTTATGAGCCATTTTATTGTCATAAAAATGTCATAAAAAAGTAATAAAACTTACCTCATAAGATTGTTGAGAAGCCTAGAAGAGAYAACATAACCCCTTGACACAGAAAAGGTAAGTTATTTTATTATATGTTAATAGCACTTAAAAAACTATTTCTTAGAAGCAATGTAAGATCCCCTTTTGTTTGTTCTTTTTTTTCTTTTTTATGGAAGTAGAACATACCTATAATAMTATATTTGCAGTGTACAAATCTTAAGTTTAGTCCAGTGAATATTATACACACACACCCCGGATGATTAGAGTCTTTTCTCTGATCAAGAGGAAAGATCTCTGACAGCACCCCACAAAGTCCCTCATGTCCCTTACAAGTCAGCATTTGCCTCCTTCAGAAGTAATCATTATTCTGGTGTCTTCAACTGTAGAACTTTGTATAAATAGAATCATGTAGAGTGTGCTCTTTTGTCAGATTTTTTTCCATTTGTAATACCTGTGGGATACGTCCACGTTGCTGTGCATCTCTATTTTTTGTTCTGTCTTACTCCATTCCAGATACCACCATTTATCCATTTTCCTGTTGGTGGACACTTAAGTWTCTTCCAGCTTGTAGCTGTAGGATTAATATGGCCAGTGACATTTTTACACACACATGCACAACCTGCTTTGGGGTGTTTTCCTGARATTGGTATTGCTAAGTTTTGGGCTACACATCTGCAGCTTTCAGGTGTGAACGGAGGAGTTTATGCTCCCTCCACCATAGAATGGGAGATACGTTTGATCATACGTTTGTTTTCTTATGGCACTGAAAAAATTAGTTTATAACACATCAAGTATAAAATGGTGATGGGCACGTTAAAACTAACCAGCCTTTCAGAGAAAAAAATTCTGTGAAAGGTGATATRTCCCGTGTCACATTTGGTTCATGAAACTCCTCTGGTAAGAGTGACTTAACAAGCTTAAACCATTCTTTGAAGATATACAACAATTATTTTATGTCGAGCTTTGATACTTGTTTTTTGTTTCTGAGTATATTTTTTGTTTTTCTCTCAAAAGAAACATACTCTTGAATCTACAAGCAAACCATTTCTCATCTGCATATTTATTCATATATGTATTCCAGAGGGTTTACTTAAGGGTATACATCAAATTAGTGTTTATAAAAAATAACAAATATTTACTAACCATACTCTGCCAGACATAACACTAATATATTAGCTACATCATGTCTCATTAGATTTTTTTAGGAATTTACAAGGTTTTCCATGCTTTCTAGTGAGGAAACTTAAGGCACAAAGGTTAAGCTACCCAAGATCACACAGGATTTGAACCAAGCAATCTGACTTTAGGGCCTGCTCTCCTAATCAAGATGTAGTACCTCTTCTGTTTTAGAATAACACAGTGATTTTTTTCTTGACATTTATTGTGTTGGTTGCCTGTGTGAGGTTTTTTGAGTTTTTTCCTCTATCAGTGTAACCAACTACACAGGCAGAAAGGGAAGAGGAAATATAACATGAATCCTTGAAGACAGTGAGACTTTTGAAAAGCCTCCAGACAGATCTAAATTAGTCAGTTTGGCCATTGGTTTTCATCTGTGGATCTGGATAATTGCTTGTGTGCTCTACTTATATAAATAGGATTTGGGCTTCCTCATTTATGAAGTTATCATTTGTTCTCAGAGTTTACGATGGATGTTTTTTTGCGGGGAGGTGGGTGCTGAGGATCAACCCCAGGGCCTCAAGCATGGTAGGCAAGCACTCTCTACTGAGCTATAGCCCCATCCCTTATGATAGATTTTTAAATCAATTTTCTCTGATTCTTAAGTTGTGCATGTTGAATTCAGGACATCACAGTGCTCCTTTGTCCCTGCTGCTGTAGCCATGAACAGTTTAAGGAGGCAAGCACAGTGTGAAGCACAAGCACAAGMACCCACCAGTGCTTCCATCACTGGTTCGGTGGTTTATGGACATGGCAGAAAAAAGCCTGAAAACTCTCTTAACAATGACTGTCACCTTGAAAATAGATTTCTTATTATCAGGAAATTGAGGACTCTGAATTTTGTCAACTAAGGCTGTGAGGATAGTCATGGCATTTGATGAGGGAGACTGAGGCAGGAGGATCGCTAGTTTTAAGCCAACTTCAACTTAGTGAAACCCTAAAGCAACTTAGTGAGACCCTGCCTCAAAATAAAATATAAAAAGGGCAGGGGTTCAGTGTTTAAGYGCCCCTGGATTTAATTCCTTGTACACAAAAAAAGGGGGGTGTGGATCGAGTTTTAATCAATACTTGGGAGTAGTTTTAGTATTACAYAGTGACTAATAGTTAAGATGCTGGTGCTGAGACAGCTTTTAATGGTTCCCTGCCTTAACGARAAGTGTCCAGTTAAAATGTGGAAGGTTCAAGAGCATTGACATGAACACCATTGCAGAGCTCACAGTGAAGTGCAGGAATTACAATACTTGGAGCCTATGGAAGAAGCCAGCTTTGAATCCAAATTAATGAATTAAGTCAACCTGCATACCATAAAAAGCCAAAAGGCTGCATCTGGTTTAGAGAGGAAAGGTACTCACTTTATTTGCCTTGTTTGCCAACCCTGCCCCATAATGACTGTAACCAGGAAGACAGAATAAATTGTCATAGTTTTTGTCGTTATTTGCCTCTGGAACTCATCGAACTTTATGGAATACCTATTGCCCTATTACTGGATGTAATTTTATATATGCACTGAGCAGAGATTTATGCTTTATAATTTAAGGGTGAAAAAAGTGAAGATTAGCTGGGCAAAGTGGCAAATACCTAGGATCCCAGCTACTTAGGAGCTGAGGCAGGAGAATTGAAGTCCAGCCTGGGCAATTTAGCAAGATCTTGTTAAAAAGGGTAAAGATATAGATCTGTGGTAGAGCACTTCCCTAGCATGTGTGAGGCCCTGCATAAATCCCCAGTACCAAAAGAAAAAGAGAAACTAAAGATTTGTCTAGTTAGATAGTATGGGATAGCAATTAGAAATCTCCCTGGTTTCTAAAATTTATTTTCATAAGCAGTCTACACAAATGTATTCTTGTTTTAAATTTTTTTTTAATTATAGATGACACAGTAACTTTATTTTATATGGTGCTGAGGATCGAACCCAGTGCCTCACACGTGCTAGGCAAGTACTCTGCCACTGAGCCACAACCCTAGCCCCCATAAATGTGTTCTCAAAATAAATTTTAAAAGAAAGTCAGGATCAGATGGGCACTTACAAAATCTAGAATGTCGTATTTAATCCCCACAACTATCTGTCTTGAAGAATTTGGTTTAATTATTGTATGCCCAAAGATAGTATGAAAGTTGATTTACAGAAGACCTCAATTCTCTTATCTCCTCTCTACCAGTTACTCCTTGATATTACTCTGATCAGCCTTAATGTCATTTCAAAACATTCTGTATTTTATATTTTCTGACTGATTAAGGTCGATTATCCTAAAGATTATAAGAGATTTTTGATTTGGCCAAGGAAGGCCAACCAACAGTCTGAAGTTAAAGTACATCTATTTTAAATTCAGAATGGTCACAAGAAAAACAGCTTTATACGGACCCAGAGTTCAGGATGGTATATCACAAAATGGCAGAGATAACCAATTCTATTTTCTGTATATGGCTTTTGTGCCCTGTGTCCATGTCTCCCTTTGCATTACTAAGAAATACTGTATTACCTTGTAAACCTTACTACAAGACCATCCCATTGAGCTCTGAGGATAAACCAGTTCCAATCCCCCCCCCCMAAAAAAAAAAATTAGTTTCGTGCTTTGACAATAAGTTCTGGAAAGATACTGAAGAGTATAAATTTCTTACAAGTTCACTAGTAAAGCATTGCTGAAATGTGCTAGATTATTAATGAATACAATAAAAACTAGACTTTTTATCTTAGTACACTTTTCTGAGTATTTACTGGTCATTATTTTTAAAAACCAAGAAACCACATTCCATTCTGTCTTTTCCTATTTTTTTTTAGAGTCACTCAAGGGAAAGGATTAATGCCAGATGGTACTAGCAGATTTACTTGCAAAGGAAAGACAATTTTACATTACATGGGAACCAGCACATTTTCTGAATACACAGTTGTGGCTGATATCTCAGTTGCTAAAAYAGACCCTTCAGCACCTTTGGATAAAGTCTGCCTTCTTGGTTGCGGCATTTCAACTGGGTATGGTGCTGCGGTGAACACTGCCAAGGTGAGATCAGCCTGGGTTTTAGCTTCTGCCTTCTAATTCACTTCAGCAAAGCTTTGCTAGAATAGTGAAACTGGCCTGAAACCTACTGATGTCTTTGACCCTTGCTGAATGAGTTCCTTACAGACTGTCTTTCCTGTTAGGTAGAACCTGGCTCTACTTGTGCAGTCTTCGGCCTCGGAGGAGTTGGATTGGCAACTATCATGGGCTGCAAAGTTGCTGGTGCATCCCGGATCATTGGTGTGGACATCAATAAAGATAAATTTGCAAGGGCCATAGAATTTGGAGCCTCCGAATGTATTAATCCCCAAGACTTCAGTAAACCCATCCAGGAAGTGCTCATTGAGATAACTGATGGAGGAGTGGACTACTCCTTTGAGTGTATTGGTAATGTGAAGGTCATGGTGAGTATGCTTGTTTCATTCCTTTTTTGTTTGTAGAACTTTCTTTTTAATGCAGTCCCATTAGGATTTAAAATTGATGGATTTGGTTTTTACAAAGGAAGTCTTTTGATAACAGTTCTAATGAAAGAAGGGAAAAATAACTGGACTACAAGTAGAAAATGACACAAGAATGTCTTATGGAAAGATGAAAAGTTGTTTCTTTGCCTTTCAGTGCAACCTAAATATATGTCTCATTAAATGAGAAAGCAGAATAGAGAGTGTGGGCTTTGGAGTTACGTATTCATATACTTACCAGCTCAGTGACCTTGAGCCATGGACTAGTTCTCTAAACCTAGGTTTCATTATCTGTCAAATGCAGATAGTAACAACACCTACTTGACACAAGTAGATATTGAGTGAAAAATACTGTTACTTCTCCTGCCTACTTCTTATACTAAATTCCTTAGAACTTTGAGCTAGGATTTACTTTTTGTTTAAACCAATACATAAAAATTGTACATATTAATGGAGTACTATGTTAATCAGGTTAAACATTATCTCTCAAACACTTATCATTTCTTTATGGTGAACACTTCCAAAATCCATTGTTCTAGCTTTTTGAAATGTATAGTACATTATTGTTATTTATACAACAGTATACCAAAGCCTCTTGCTCCTATCTAAATCTGACTTAATGTCCATTGATCAACCTCTCCTCATCCCTCCTCCCACYCTACTCTAGATAGATAATCACTATTCTACTCTCAACTTCTGTGAGATCTTTTTTAGATTCCACACAAGTAAAAAGATCATGTGATACTCGTCTTTCTGTGCCTTATTTCACTTAACATAATCATCTGCAGTTCCGTCCATGTTGCCACAAATGACAAGATTTTATTCTTTTTTATGGCTGAATAATATTCGATGGTATATATGTACCAATTTCTTTATCCATTCATCAATTGATGGACACTTCAGTTGTCTATTTTCTGGCTGTTGTGAATAGTGCCACAGTGAACATAGGAGTGTAGATGACTCTTCAATAAAATGATTTCATTATTCCTTTGGACATATACCCAGGAGTGGGATTGCTAGGTCATGCAGTAGTTCTATTTTTAATTTTTTTTTCTATTTTTAATTTTTTGAGGAATCTTCATACTGTTTTCCAGAATGACAAGGTTCCCCTTTTCTGCACATCTTCACTGCATTTAATCATTTATCTTTTTGGTAATGGACGTTCTTACAGGGTGAGATTATATCTGATTTGCATTACCCTAATGATTAATAATGTTAAGCATTTTTTCAAGTACCTGTTGAAAATTTGTGTCTTTTGAGAAACGTGTGTTTATGTCTATTGCCAATTTTTTAATTGGGTTATTTTTGTTTTTGCTGTTGTTTTTGGAGTTCTTTATAAATTCTGGATATCAACCCCTGTCACATACTTTCTCCCATTCTCTAAGTTTTCTCCACACTCCTATTTGTTTCCTTTTCTGTGCAGAAGCATTTCAGTTTAATGTAATCCCATTGGTCTCTTTTTGCTTTTGTTTCCTGTGCTTTGGGGATCCAAAATTCAAAGCATTTGTTCTTCCCCCCGCCCCCAGGATTTTCATAGTTTCAACTCTTACCTGTTTTGAAATTTTAACTGGTAAGAGATAAGGAGTCTACCTCATTCTTCTACATGTGACATACAATTTACTTTTAGAGTACAAAGCAAATGAAAGCTTTACATTTGTTCAATTTATGTTAATATTTATCCAGGTTAATAATTTTTAAAATACCTGTTAGAATGTAATTGTTCAATAAAATTACATGAAGTTTGGACCTTAGTCGGCATTTTTTTTTTTWAAAGCCCCGTGTCGCACACACCAGGCCCACCCACATAAGTTTCCGGGAAAGTTATTCTGAACAAAACGTACTGACTTGTGTGATTTGATCTTACTCTGTGCTTGCAGAGAGCAGCACTTGAGGCATGCCACAAAGGCTGGGGTGTCAGCGTGGTGGTTGGAGTAGCTGCTTCAGGTGAAGAAATCTCCACCCGTCCATTCCAGCTGGTGACAGGTCGCACATGGAAAGKCACTGCCTTTGGAGGTAATTCAGTAAATGAGTCCCTTTTCTCTCGTTACTTTCATTGACAGAGTTTTAATCCCAGACTAGTTTTCCTGTATTAATAAGAATCTTCATGTCATGAGCTAYATTATCATAAATTGATTCGTACAAGGTTCCTTTTAAAGGAGGATTTCAAATTTAATCAGTGTTTACCCCTGGGGCTGGGAAGTTGCTCAACTCCTTAAGCACTAGCCACTTATTACCCACTTAAAAAAAATTCAATATTCTGCTAATGAGAAAGAAGTTGGGGTAGAACATAGGTGAGAAGTTGACTGCAGAGTAAGCAGGCAACATTGTCAGACCTGCTGTTTTTACTTAAATTTTCCAGAGTGCAGTGATCACTGGTTGTGATCATACTTATTTCTGAATGGTACTGATTTTCATCAGTAACTGAGTCTTAAACTGAAAATATTTGATAAATCCTCATAACAAAATTGAAAAGCTCCCAGACTGATAATTTTTCCCTTTGTGATCCTAAAAAGTATGGTTATTTGGGTTGCCTAACTACCAGTGGAAAGCTCAAATAATTTCCATCCTTTCATGATTGCTCAGTTAGGGAACAGGCATTAATTTATGTTTACATATCACAACTATTAACTGTTGTGAATAAATGAAATCTAATGTTTTTATAGGCTTTTTAAAAAACATATCTTACCATCTTGTTAGGCAAAACCTTTTGAATGATGTGTGTTTAACAAAATGCCTGCCATTCTCATACCTCATATTATGCCATCTTTTTTGAAGGCCAGCAGCAAATACCATGGTACTCACCTTAGAAAATGTCACTGATCAGCCCTCCTTTCCAGAGCCCTAGATGTGTATTGTGTCTCAACAGAGCTTTCTAGAACAGGCTCTGTAAGGCACACGTGCTTCTTGGGGGCATCATTCACAGCTGAATTTGGAAGGACATTCATTCTAAGCCTGGTTGACTGGGCCAAGGGGTCTTGGTAGCGACCTCTAACTGAAGCCTCCCCCTAGCACTTGCCAGCTGGGAAATTCACTAGAGGGATGCAGCTCTTTGTGTTGCTAAATATGACTACCCAAAGATATAAATAGAAGTTTTGGTCTAGACAATAGGGGTAGCTATGTTTGTCTCAGTTACTAGGAGATTAAAAGGAAAAATAACAGATTTCCACAAAGAGGTCTGAAATATGCTCTTAAAATTTTGGGGGAAGATATTTTTGTTGATTTATTACTTATTTTGATATAAGTGAAACATCAAGGCCACTAATTTAAAATTTTGTTAGCTACTTTGTTCTTAATACTTTTCTGAGATGCTATTCTTACTTCATTGTTGAAGTCAAAACTCAGGGAACAAAAGTACTATATTGCATCAGTTTTTTCTACCTTGAATATTGTGATTACATAATCTTTGCTATTGTGGAATGGATCTAAATAAATTTGTTATTAAGAAATATAGAGAGCTTTTGTCTCACATAGTTTAAGTCTTCATTGGCCAAACTTGAGAGATTTTAGTAAATTCTAATACAAAAGCAGGAAAAAATAACAAGTATTTAACTCTTTCATAACAAAAGATGCTGTGTCAAATTCTCTGCTTCAGGCTAATTTTGGAATTTATCATTCCTCTTGAACTCATCAAAAAAATCATTCTCTTGGCTGGGCATGGTGGCACACACCTGTAATCTTGGCAACTACAGGAGCAGATAAGAGGATCATAAGTTCAAAGCCAGCCTCAGCAATTTAGCAAGGCCCTCCTTAAGTAACTTATTAAGACCCTATCTCAAAATAAAAAGGGGTGGGGATGTAGCTCAGTGATAAGTACCCCTGAGATTCAATCTCCAGTACCCCCCCCCAAAAAAAAAAAATCCTCTTGGCTCTATGGTAGACTGCTAACCTGGCATGTATAAGGCCCCAGCACTGCCCCCACCTTATCCCCTCCCACACACACAGAATTATCCTCTTAAATATCTTTTGTGTAACCAATAAGCATACTGTAGAAACTTGTTGCATGAATTAATGAATAAATGTATGATTTCTTTTAGGTTGGAAAAGTGTAGAAAGTGTCCCAAAGTTGGTGTCTGAACATATGTCCAAAAAGATAAAAGTTGATGAATTTGTGACTGGCAACGTGTCCTTTGACCAAATTAATGAAGCTTTTGAACTTCTGCATTCAGGAAAGAGGTAAGCTTCCTCTTTAGCTCTTTATTATACAGAATGTAATGATCTGGGGGTTCTAGGGGAGAACCAAAAATGATACAATTTTAAAAGGTCACCATTTACAATCTGTTTATTGCTTCCTTCTCTTACAGCATTCGAACTGTTGTTAAGTTTTAAATTCCAAAACAGAAAAATGTATCCACCCATTCCTAAGTCTTGTGATCTGATGGAAACAGCCAGACCAGCGTCTTCCAAGCTCATAGCTTCTTGGGCCTTCAGTTAACTATTTGAGGGAATAGTATTACTAAGTATAATTCATAAGTCTGCAATCAAGGACAAGGCCAATACAGTCACAGATCTATTTTCTAAACTCTCCTTCACATAAATAATCATAGCTCACTAACAAATATTACAACATAATAAAAGTAATTTCTAGCAATTATAAGTTGTCATTTCTTTATACTACTTTCTTCATGGTTCCTCTGCATAATATCTTCATTCTATAAAGGAAAGTTAAAAGAAACTGGGCAGTGCTGCTTTTTTTCTTTTTGTCTTATATTCAAGATATATGTGAATACTGATGGCAAACATTTTCATGTTCAATAATAAATGACAGAGCAGTTTTAATAYATTATTATTCCAGTTCTTATAACTGGATAATTTATTGAGCTTTTTATTTGTCATAACTAAGTACACAGTCCTAAGCCAGTCCATTATGGCTTAACATTTCTTGAATGAAAGCAGTTCTCTTTCAGATTCAGTGTAAGAAACCAGTTTTGTAAGATGCTTACCATAAGAATTCCTGCATCATGGGACTCAACCATATGTATAAAAAGTTTTGGGTTTTTTTTTTGTTATTGTTGTTTGTTTTTTGTTTTCTGGTAAGATTCTTTTAACATATTCTCCTGGATTGAATTTTGGATGCTGTGTATGTTGCTGAACCAAATCGTTTTGGGAACAAAATACAGATAAAGCACAGGCATAAATCTATCTTGATTGTCCTCAATTAGGATTCTACCAGTGTGAAAGGGTTGAGGAAAATTTTTGAAAATAGAGAGATGAATGTCTATAATTTCGATACAAATGGATATTAATAGCCTCTGTATACTTCATGAAAGCCAGTAAAATAGATACCTCTTAAATTTAGGAATCTAAAATCTTGCATCACTAGAAACTAACTTTAAGCAAGTTTATCAGGTTTAACTGGAATACTTTCACATGCCTAGCATTTTTCAAATCTTACCGGCATTTCCATTTTTAGCCATGTTAGGCTATTCTGTATTCAGTTTTAACCTACCTAGTAATATTTGCTGGAGAAAGAAACAAGCTCTTTATTACATGCACAGGAAACTAACAAAGTAGAATGTATGGGATGATGAGGAGGTCATTTGGAATGGAAATAAGGAAAAAATTACATTACATCCAAAACACAAGAGTGGAGCCAGTTAATATGTACAATCAACACTGGAAATGTATCCCCCAAAATAGTTACTTCCATTTATCTCATCTGAATGCAAGATAACACTTAGCTGATAATTCTCAAAATGTTTTGCTGGTTTGGGTAAAAAGAAACATTTTTACATGTACAGAATGCTACAGAAGTTTTCTGTTAGCTACCAATCTGCCCAGTAGGCTGATGATCAAAGTCTTAAATAACTGACAATTCTTTGGAGGCCTAGAGACACAGCTAGAAAAAGTCGATTCACCAGGTTTTTTGTTGTTGTTGTTGTTCTGCTTTTTATTTATTTATTTTTACCTTTTTTTTTTAGTTGTAAATGGACACAATACATATATTTTTAAGTTATTTMTTTTTTCACATGGTGCTGAGGATTGGACCCAGTGCCTCACGCATGCAAAACAAGTGCTCAACCACTGAACTACAACCCCAGCCCTGGTTTTAATTAACATGCAGTATCAGATTGTCAACCTATAACCCTTGAAAGTATCCCACAAATACATTTTAAAAACATTATTTTGATAATATATGCACAGAACTACACCAAGGAAATTGTGCCTTTACTAGGAGGACTGGACACAATCCTCCTACCTTATTTCTTTTAGTGGAACTTTATGGTAACAGCAGCAGAATGGGCTCTTCAGCAGATTTTTATCCAAATGGTCACTAGCAGAATTCCATGTATATAAGCTAAATATGAGCATGCTCCTTTTAAGAAAGCATGGTTTAAATGTGTACAGAAACATTCTTGCCTTGTGGAAATATCAATATTAAGAAGAGCAGAAGGGAGCTGGGGTTATGGCTCAGCGGTAGAGCACTTGTCTAGCTCTTACAAGGCCCTGGGTTCGATCCTCAGCACCACATAAAAATAAATAAAAAGTATAACAACAAAAAAAGAGCAGAAGGACTGGAGTTGTAGCTCAGGGTAGAGTGCTCACCTCAAATGTGGAAGGCACTGGGTTTGATGCTCAGCACCACATAAAAATAAAATAAAGGTATTTTATCCATCTACAGCTAAAGAAATATTTTTTTAAAAAGAGTAGAAATGTTGTTTTACAATATTTTGATTCCCTTCCCCTGTTCTACGTTATAATACTAAGGTTCTCATCCTTGGCTTTAAAGTTTTCTCAGATTTTCCCAGGGCTCAAATACACTAAGTTTAAACAATTATACCCTAAATTATCTGGTGACCTGACCCAATTACTGAAATAAAGTAAATCTGTTATACAGTCACATTACATTTAAACTGTTGCTAATTTGTGTTATCACCACACAAACAGAATCTCTGCACAGAGAAGTGTGGTGATTTGTTCTAACCATGCAATCAATTAAAAATATGTTGTTGTGTGCTCCTCTTAAGAAACCACAGTGCATATGTGCTTACAAGTTTGGGAAAATAAGTGTCATGAGTTTGTTGTTCAGACTGGRATGACAAAAACAGAATAATAATAAAGCTGAGAATTTTATTACTCGAGAAATCAATTTTGGGGCTGGGGTTGTGGCTCAGTGGCAGAGCGCTTGCCTCGCATGTGTGAGGCACTGGGTTCGATCCTCAGCACCACATAAAAATAAACAAAATAAAGATATTGTGTTCATTTATTTTTTAAAAAATCAATTTTGTAACTAAAAGCTTTACAACAGTAAAAAAGGTTAGACATCATAGGAATTTCCATAAAATTACTAACTAAAACACTGAACTATTAAACACATCAATGGTAACTGAAAATCTTCATAGGAAGTCCTTGAATGCACCACATACTGATTTTTTTTGACACATTTTAGTAAAAATACCATACCAGTATTGACACATTTTAAAAATAACCACAGAATTGCCATATTGAGGCAGTTCTATTGTTACTCAATACCCAAAATGAAAAGCAGCAGAGAGAATGCAGCCAAGGGCATTTTTGCTTTCTCTTACAAAACATTCAAATGCATTTTTCTTACTTAGCTCCAAAAAGGCAAAAGGGAAAGAATGGAGGCTGCCAAAAAGTTTTGAGAGCAGCCACTGAAGGCAACTTGACCCTCAAGGAGTCAAACAGCATGGCCCGAGTGAGAACTTCCAAGAATAGATGAAGTGCTACCAAGCTAAACTTTCCATAGATACTCATTTTTAAAATGAGACAAAAGTTAGCCTAATGCAACCTATATCTTGAAATAAACCTAAAACATTTTTTTTTAATGAGTTAGACAATGGGCCACATCCCCACATTACAAAATGGTATAATTTGCTCCTCTTGTAGTTAGAGCTTGGTAGAAGACCATCTTATATCATCTCATATCTTCCTGGTGTTTCTAATTCCCAGATGACTAAGATATCCTTTCTATTCCTACTATGTTTTGCCCCCAAGATTTACTGCCTTGTTTAAAAAGTAGCTCAGAATTTATAAAATTTAGAATCCAAATAAAATCAAATTATGTTCTAATAAGGAAATGCACATATTTTATACTTAGTAGTTTATTGTTGGTGATGAGGTAGTTTTGAAATTTACATCTTACAGGATCAAGCAAGTAAATATTGGTGTTGTTTGGAAGCAAGTTCTCATCAAGGGAAAATAAGATCATAAATGTAGAATAGGGAAAGGAGAGGAAGATCAGTGTTTTCATTTTGATACTTAAGAAGCATCAAAATGAATTTATGACTTTTTAAAAATGTATTTGTTCCTAAAAGGGCCTAGAAGCAATGAGATCCCAGTAAAACACAAATCCTGATTTCCAAACACCATTCCCTGTGAAAAGAAACCAGGAGTCTTGAAGAAAGCCAATTCTTAGTCTGTGTCAGGAAAAATACATWGTAAGCCTATAATATCTTGCTATGGTACAAAGCAAAAACACACTCAGACTGATGGTTCAAAATGACCCACTGGTCAAATCTGGGACAATTATAGTAATTAAACAGAATTTTCAAAATGTTGCGATTCCACAATACTGAAAAAGGGGAGGGGAGACAGGGACTAGAGGGAGGAAAGTGTTTCTTTGTAGAATGCTAGTTAATAAATGTAGATGGGATGCCAGCCTTAGAAAATGCCAACTTGCAGTCATGACTATAATAAAATATTGGATTCAGGTGAAAACTGTCAGTGAAAGCTAAAACCACCAAGTGAAGAGGATATGCAGTATTTTCCAAATCTCTCTCCCAAGAATAAAAAAGAATATACTTTTACAATTTAAAAAAGCCTGACAGACTACCCTACTATCAACTTTAAACAAATCCAATGAAAACCTCAAAGACAGACTGACAAATCAAACTAAGATGGCAAACAAATTGCTAAACCTCCTCTTGCCTATTAATTTATACACGTGGGTGGCAAGTAGTATAAATGTTGCTGAAGGGGTTCTAATTCCAACAACCTATTTTATCAGCATAAGCCACAAAAAGAAGATAAAGGGCAAACACGTTTCCCTTTTAAATTATAATTTCAAGAGAGTTGAAGACTAGCAAGAAACAAGGATTACCCTAAAATTTAACCTAAAACAAGTAAATAAACTGATTTATTAAAAAGTTGGTAGATGATGAATAGATGTTTTGTTGACCTAAATCTAATACATAATTTGATATATGTAATTAGACTAGAGCACACACTGTTCTAAAAAAAACTCCCAAACCAAGGAAAGCATTATTTTATCTTTTCACCACAAAATTATCCCACAAAAATTTCCTTCCTTAAGCTTATTTTTAAATGCTATACAACAAATAAGCCCACTGTTAATTCCACTATCAGAATGTAAA